CTCCTCCTCCTCCTCCCCCTCTGCCTCGCCTGCGCCGCGGCCACGACACCCTCACCCTGCTGCCGCCCTCGGTGACCGACGGGCTGCAGCACGGGGGGATCTTCCAGGTGGGGGACCTCGTATACGCGGACTTTGCAGAGGAGCACGGCGCCAGGCCCAAGGAGGAGGAGGAGGAGGAGGAGGACGAGGAGGAGGAAGGATAGGAGGAGGAGGAGGGATTAAGAGGAGGAGGAGAGGAGGGGGGAGGAGGAGGAGGAGGAGGAGGGATGAGGAGGAGCACGGATGGGGAGGAGGAGGAGGAGGAGGAGGAGGAGGAGGAGGAGGAGGAGGAGGAGGAGGAGGAGGAGCTGGAGGAGGGAGAAGGAGGGAGGAAGGAGGAGTCAGCGGGGATTCCAGGTCCCCGCACGGTGTTGGGACTCGAGTCATTATCTGGGACCGTCTCGGGCGACTGAGGCCTGCGAGGTCCCAAAAGCGCGCGGCGACAGACCTCGTGAATGCGGACTTTGCAGTGGAGCACGGCGGCATGCCCCGTGCTTTCCGTCGTTCTCCCTCGAGATCACTGTATTGCAGTTTTTTCACGTTGGGCGATCGGGACCTACGATCCTCATCCTCAATCTCCGCCTCCGCCTCCTCCTCCTCTTCCTCCTCCTTTCTCCAGGGAGGAGCGATGAGAAGGAACGAATGACCCTGAGATCCTGGCGTCGCATGTTTGTTCGTTGTGCCGCCCCGCTCCCACTGCCAGGAAGATGGAGCTCTGGCTGGCCGTCCCAGCTGCTCAAAGGCAATATACCTCGCACTGTGAGTGCCCTCCGCTTCCTTTCGCTCGCCTCCCGCGGCCGCCCGCCTGTTCCCTTCCTCCCCCCCTCTTGCCGCCAGTCGATTAGCGCCTGCTCCCCTCGCCCGCTCGAGAGCGCGTGCGGACTGCCTCTGTCGCGCTGCGACGCCCAAGTTTGTTCGCAGCGGGCGTTGTTGCCTCGTTTCGGACCCCGGGGCCCTCACGGATTGGCCCAGGACCTTCACGGACTGGTGAGGAGGGAGGCCCAAAGAGGGAGGATGTCTTCCTCCTCCTCTCCTCCTCCTCCTCCTCTCCTCCTCCTCCTCCTCCTCTCCTCCCTCCTCCTCCTCCTCCTCCTCCTCCTCCTCCCCTCCTCCTCCTCCTCCTCCTCCTCCTCCTCCTCCTCCTCCGCCGCCGCCTCCTCCTCCTCCTCCTCCTCCTCCTCCTCCTCCAGGGAGGAGCGAGGAGAATGGACGAAGGACCCTCAGATCATGCCTTGTGTTTGTTCGCGGCGGGCGATCTTGCCTCGCTTCGGGCCCGTGTGCCCTCATGGATCGATTTGGATCGAAATATGGAGCAGAAATCGGGGGCGGCAAAGAGGGGGGTGATGACTAGGGGGGGATATCATGGCGTGGGCCATGATATTTCCACAGATTTCATGGCGCCTCCTCTTATTTCATTACGTCCCTGGCCCCCCCCGCTGGGCCGCGCACGTGCCGCTGGTCATGGTTTGCACCCCCCCTCTTGGACACCCCCTCTTGGCCGCTCCCGAAAATGCAGCAGAAAGATAGTGTCTGGCGTTTTGGTCGTGATTGTTCACGATGCGCCATTGTTTCGCAACGTCGGATCTCAGTGTCGGCGTAGCCATCCCCGTCGTCGTCGCCGTCGCCGTCTTAGTCCCTGACATGCTTCCGTTGTGAACGGGTCACGACGGCAGGCTGCGGTCCCGGGGAAGGGGTCCAGACTTGGGGGGGGGCACGCAATAAAACAATCACGACTGAGTGTGTCTGGGTCGTCGCTGTTAATGGCCTTGACGCCGTTGTGTTGGTGGTCGTCCTCCTCGTGATCGTCATCGCGAGAGAGGGAGGCAGAGCAGGACAGAGGGCAGGAGGACTAGGAGGAGTAGGAGGACGAGGAAGAGTCGGTGACGCCTTGTGAGAGCCAGGCTTGCGGCCGACATAGTCTGCGGCCTCCTGGAAGGGCTGCTGCGGCGGGTGCTGGCGACGCCAGGCCTGCTGTCGGTGTGGGACGGCGTCTGGGCGGCCTTCACGATCTGATGCCAGCGTTGGCCTCATGTTCCCGCGGGGCCTACGGCGTTCGAGCCGTCCTTCTCCCTCTGCTCCTCGTCGTCATCCTCGTTCCTTCCGCCCCATCCTCGTCTCCTCCTCTTCCTCTCCCTCATCCTCACCCTCTTGCTGCTAATGACCCTTGCCCTCGATTTCGTCCTCCTCCCCGTCTTCATCCTCGTCCTCCTCCTCCTCCTCCTGCTCCCTGCTTCTCGCGCTGCTGCAGCTCTTCGTCGTCGTCGGCCTCCTCTTCCTCCTCCTCTTCCTCCTCTTCCTCCTCTTCCCCCTCTTCCTCCGCGTCCCTCCTTCTCGTCTTCCTCCTCTCCCCCGGCCCCTTCCCCTCCCCCCCGCCCGTTCCCTCCCCCATCCGCCTCGTTCCTCGTTCTCCTCCGTTCTCGTCCTCGTCGTCCCCTCCCTTCTCCTCCTCCCTCCCTCCAACCACGGGCTGGCTCCTCCTCCTCCTCCTCCCTCGCCATCCTCCTCCTTCCACTGGCTTCCGCCCTCCAACTTCCAACTTCCAGTCTCCAGCTCGCGACCTCCAACGCCCACCCATAAGCAGCAATGGACCTCAGCACCTCCCTCTCGCAACTCCTAGCCACCACCCTGCGGCCCCCAGGTCCCACGGTTCGATTTCCACCCTCCATCGGCTGGCACATTGACTCCAGCTTTCGACGTCGACCTCCCATCGGCAACTGCAGTCCTCAAGCCTCACGTGTCCGACCTCCAGCTTCCACATTGGCACCTCCAGCTCCAGCATTCCCGCTTCCTGCCGACCTCCACCTTCCACGTCCCAACTTCCAGTCCAGTCTCTGGTTTCCGACCTCCAACGCCCGCCAACAACGGTCGACATCCAGCGTTCGACCCCACGCCTCGGGGGTACAGTCGACCCGCAGAGCAAGGACGGGCATCCTTCCCAAGGGTACCCTCGCCTCCTTGCCTCCTCGGTGCATCCTTGGCCACTTTCGTTGCCGCGCCCAGCTCGAAAACTTCGAAATGGGCTTCCAGGGGCCTTGCATCCTTATCGCGCATCCTTACTCTGCGGGTTGACTGTGGAGTGCGCCGCGCGCGCTGGAGGACGAGCAGGACCACAGCGCTCGGACACCGACGCTGGGTCGTGCGTGCTCTCCCGGTCGCGCCCCTTCCTTCTCCTCCTCCTCCTCCTCCCTCCTCCTCCTCCTCCTTCTCCTCCTCCTCTCCTCCTCCTACCTCCTCCTCCTCCTCCTCCTCCTCCTCCTCCCTCCTCCTCCTCCTCCTCCTCTTCCTCCTCATCCTCCTCCACTCCTCCTCCTCCTCCTCCTCCCCTCCTCCTCCTCCTCCTTCCTTCTCCTCCTCCTCCTCCTCCTTCTCCTCTCGTCCTCCCCCTCCTCCCTCATCCTCCTCCTCCTCCTTCCTCCTCCCTCCTCCTCCTCTCCTCCCTCCCCCTTCCGCTCCTCCCTCCTCCTCCTCCTCCCCTCCTCCTCCTCCCCTCCTCCCTCCTCCCTCTTCCCTCCCTCCCTCCTCCCGACTTCCTTCTCCCTCCTCCCCTCCTCCTCCTCGCCTCCCTCCTCCCTCCTCCTCCTCCTCCTCCTCCTCCTCCTCCTCCTCCTCCTCCTCCTCCTCCTCCTCCTCTGCCTGACGTGTCCTACGACGGGCAGTCCCAGCCGCAGACGTCTTCGCCTGCTTCGAGGACTCCCAGGCCAGTGGGGTGGCCCAGCCGAGGATGTAATGTTTCGTCCTGATGCCTGCTCAGTGCTCGCAGCCTACCACAACAGGCTGACCATGAGCCGTGGAATGCATCGAGGATCAAGGATGCCCACGTCGACATCGACCACAATCCCTGAGGGCTCAGGCCCACCCGCGCTGGCCTTAGAGGCCCCGCCTATGGCGGACACCAGCGCGCTCCGCGCCACTCTGTTCCCCCCCACCGCCGCCTCCTCCGCGTCATCCTTCTGCTCCCCCTCCCTCTTCCAGCTTCCTCCTACACCTCGTCCAGTCGTCGTCGTCGCCCTCGTCGCCGTCGTCGTCGTCGTTTTCCTCGCCGTCGTTTTTCTCGCCCAGCCTCCGCCTGCTCCTCCCCCCCTCTTCCCGGCGGCCCTGCCCCCGCTGGGCCAGCACCCCGGCGGCCCGCGCGACCCGACGCGGGCCCGCGCGCCGCTGAGGGATCGACTTCCCGTAAGAGTGACCCTTCGCCGGATTGACCTTTGGTGCGGGCTCATCGTCAAGCAGTGGCGAAGCGTCCTGGCTCGCCTATAGCCCTACCAAACAATATTCTAAGAACCTTTTGTGGCTTCCACGAAATGTTCTTAGAACATTTCTGGCGGAGTCTGTCTTGTTTTATATCATCGGGCTTATGTTCTAAGAACATTGTTTTTGTTCTTAGAACGTTTTTGGGGTTCACAAAGAACATTTCGTGGTAAGACTACAGGAATGCCAGGACGGTCGGTCCCTGCTCAACATCGGGCTCCCCAGGATCGCCGAGCGCGATGCGATATAAGCGGCCCGCGCCCTTGGGTTTGGCTCCCTCGCGCCCCCAAACGCTGCGCACGAGAGGTTATTCTTCCCCAGGTCACTCTTACGTCTAGCCGAAGGGAGTGGCCCAAAAAACTTCGCCCCCCCTTCCTCTTTCGGGGGCGGCCAAGAGGAGGGTGATGACTAGGGGGGGTGGATATCATGGCGCGGGCCATGATACTTCCCCAGATCTCATGGCGCCTCTGCTTGCTTCAATGCGTCCCTGGCCCCACCCCCTTGGGCCGCGCACGTGCCACTGGCCATGATTTGCGCCCCCCCCTGTTGGACGC